AAAAAAAAAAAGGGGGGGGGGGGGGGGGCGGGGGGCGGGGAAGAAATCGTTTGGGATTTGAGTTTCGTGTGGCCACAAAGCAGGGAAAACGTTCACAAGCAGGAGGCGGAAAAGGGNGAGTGTACTGGGGGGGCGGGCATTATTGGGGTTCGAGTTGTAGGAATGGCGTAAACATATGGCGTACAACGACTGAAGACCAACATGACAACAACAGCGACGGCTAGCAGTGAAATGTTTATCTCGTCACGCGCCTGGGGTGGGGTTGGTGAAGCAACGCGGGAAAGGCAGAGAGCGAGAGACACAAACGCAAGGAGATGCAGCGGGCCGGGGGGCGGGGAACAGAGAAGACACCATGGAGGCAGACCAAGATTCTTGGTCGCACTTTTTTGCGGCAACTCTAGCTTGGGACAGCGCAGCGCGCACGCGTGCACCATACGGACGGCCGCGAGGAATCAGCGGGATGGCGGAAGTTCCAGCTTGACGCCACAATAAGGGAGCACCCTTTGACGCTGACAACAGCAGTATTAAAGTGACGCTGACAACAGCGAGTGACGGCGGTGATTTGTTTTGTGACCGCCCAGAATCAAGGGGCAGGGGCATTATTTCCGGTCCACCTCACGGCCTCACATGTCAGGGAGGCGGGAGCCCGCGGATCACTTTCCCTCACGGCCTCCGTGCCAAGGGGGGGGGGGGGATGGATCACAAACGAGCGTGCATGCGATTTCCGCATCATGACTGACCATTCTTCCATGGATCTTTTCGGTTTACCGCAGTATGTAACCCACGAGCTCGCACACATGCACAGGTCTTGGGGTAGCTGTGGCGTACATACACTGGGTTGTGGAGAATACTACCTCCGGGAGAAGTTCATTTTCTTATCTTGAATATGGTTCCCTTCGGGAAGCCTTTGAGCTTTTTTTACCATTCGAAAGCAACGTCGCTTCATGTGGCAGCCCGCTAGCAAATTGTGAGGCCAATCAGCAGAAACAGACACACGAAACACACACAGTTGCGATGTGTCTCTCGGAAAGCATACATAGCTTTGGCACCCTGGGTGTCAACAACCTTCAAGCTCTGTCTTTCGGGAGGTTTTGATTGATATCCGCTGCCATTTCAACATGATTTTTATTGGTCATCCGGCAAAGTGCGGTCGAGCCAATACGCACACCAGACCTCAGCCTGACATATGGCGCCCGATGAACAAGAAAGACACCCTGGCAAAAAATCCGGGCAACAAAAAACCCCGCACAGGCACACGTGTACCTACACCATTGTTGAGGGGACGAAGTTGTATGCATCGTGTGCGCGCTGGGTGGTATGCTGTTCCTCCTATACATCCCCATAGGGCTTGCTTCGTAGGGTATCGGGGGGAGTGAATGAATCGCAAAGATTTTCGGCGAGCTAGGAGACGGGGGTGTGGGAGAGGCAAAGGGAGTAACTACTTTCCTCGTTTGTAGGCCTATTTCGTGGTCCAAGCGTCCTCCGGGGAAAAGGGGTTGTGAGATGGAGGCCAAACAAACACCAATACCCACGACCGAGAGCAGCTGGCGGGGGGAGGGTGAGTCGTGTGTGTTGTGTTAGATAGCATCGACCGCGCTAACCGGCTTACGAAAGAAAACACGCCAATCTTTGTAGCATACATAGCGGGATGAAAAACACGACCACGCTTCTAGTCAAGCGGTAAGGGTTCTTGTGTGTGTAAGCAACATCACATGCCGCGGAATTCGCATCCCTGTAACCAACGATGGGGGATGTTTTCGGAGGGGGCGGGGGGGNGGGGGGGGTGGGGAGTACAGGGGGGGGGATAAGTAAGCAAGCACGAAAGACCCAAACGACAGAGAGAGAGAGAGAGAGAGAGAGAGAGATTGTTTTGCTGCTGAAGAGCACCTTCGCACGTAGTTCTCGTTCTTTGCGGCTGCTCGCTCCAGCCTCGCCTTTTCCATCTGCGACAGACGTAGGCCGATAAAAAAGGGGCAAGGAGTACAAGGGGGGAGACTTTTAGAAGTAAGAGGTGCCCAAACGTTGGGTTTTGTGGCAAAATGAGGATGAGGGAGGGGGGGCTTAGACAGTCTACATTTACTTCAAGACCATCTCGGCCGGGACATGTGAAGCAAAAGAAGAGAAGCGAGTGATTCGATGGCCGCGGTTTGCGCTGGTCCAGACTTCCGGAACGCGAGATTCCCTGCAGAGGGAAAACAGGGGTGGGTCCCAAAACACGAGGGGGCCACAGCATGGAAGTAGCGCTCTCCGGAAAAGATCATGACACGCCCACCGACAGACGGGGAAAGGGGCAAGTCGGCGGAAGAGCCGTTCCGGCTGCGCTGAGGACGGACCAGTCTACGCCGCCATCATCATGAGCGACCGAGAGACTTGCAGACGCAAGCAGTAAGTACAAAGAATTCAGCGGCAAGGGCACACAAATGAAGAACGGGTTTTGCTCCCTGGGACACACTCCCGTGCATCATACGGCATCGTACTTGTGCGATGGATGTTAGGCAGTCGGACGTGTGAGTGTAGAGCGCACAAGGCAAGATGACGATCAAAAACGATAACAAATGACGACGACAAGAACGAAAAAAACAAAAAAAACAAGGGCGTTACCTTTCCGATCAGGTTGCCGTGGATGTAACCTCGTCGGTTGTCCAGCACTTGACCTGGCTGGAGCTGTTGCTCCTGGCGCTCTTTCATCGCAGCCATCGTCTTAGCTATGGCCTCCTGTGCTACTTGTTGAGGAGTGAGCTGCTGCTGCTGTCCCGCCGCCGGCGCTGGTGCTGCCACCGGCGCCACCCCTACTCCTGGGTAGGCGTAAGCTCCGAGGGTTTGGCCGGGGGCTGCAGGGGGCGGTTGCTGCGGTGTCGCCAACAGCGGTAACGACAAAGGCTGCTGCTGCTGCTGCTGCTGCTGTGGCTGCTGCTGATACTGCTGCTGTTGTGGGTATTGCTGCTGATAGCCAACCGGATGCTGCTGCTGCTGCTGCTGTGGCTGTTGCTGCGGGTAGTGCCCGTACGCGGAAGCAGCGGAGGGGTATCCCCCAGCCGGTGCTCCAGGCGCCGGTGCGGCGTATTGCTGCTGCTGGTGTGGAGGCTGGGCAGCGTACTGCTGCTGTTGGCGATGTGCAGCACTGCTTACAGCAGCAGGCTGCTGCTGTTGCGGCTGACCCTGCCAGGGCTGCGGGTAAGTAGCGTACGCTGCCGCGGGCGGGGGTGCAGCGGCCGCCCCCGGAGCCACCGCAACAACGTGCTGCTGGGCGAGATACTGCTGCTGCTGGGCGGGTGGTGGTGCTGGGGCAGCGGTACCATAAGCGGCGTAGTACCCGGCGGGTGCCGCCGTCGTCGGCTGAGTAGGGGTCATCACGGCTGCTGCTGCAGTTGTTGAGAAAAAGGGCAGACACGCAAAACCAACAGAAATGGCGAGAGCGCCAAGACTGAGATGAGATACTGTAGATGCTTGTTGTCAGCCTCCCAAACATCGTCCCTGCTCGCTGCTTGTTAGTGCCATGCTGCTGGTTCTGCTCGCTTTCGTCGCAGCATGTGAGAGGTAGGACTCAACGCCACTCGCGCCCACGAGGGTTTGTTGAGACAGGTCCCGATTTTGCCTTCGAGCGGGCAGTAGTAGTTAGCGAATGGCATGACACAATGCGCACCTTGCCATGCCGGTGGGGGTACATATTCTAGCCGAGATCAACATTTACGCAATAGTATGCATAGCGCCAACAAAAATATGCAAAACCAACAATCATGTCCGCGCGAAACACGGACCGCTCGCAGTGTAGGGTTTGATGGGTTTGTTGCACGCGGGCACGGGGGCAGCAGAGAACACTGGTTAAAACAATTTGCTTGAAACATTTTCACAGTCCTGCGGAGTTTGAGCAAGACAGAGAGAAGCCGCGCGGCCTATCCATGCTTTTCACCTTGAGGTGTGGCAAAAAAAAAGAACGCGCAAGGTGTACAGATTGGCACACTTTGTGCCCGAAATTTCCGCTGTTGTCATGCCACCCGTCGGTACCAGGTTCGTTTCTACCCACCACTGCTGTGGTACCGACAGGCTAGCGAAGACCGCGGCCGTGTGGAGAGTGGACAGCAAACAGAGAGCTCGAGGCGTGCCAAGGCTTTCTTAGACGACTGTCCACGGATCTAACTGAAACCGAGGGGTCACATTGACACTCACCGTTGTGCGTGCGCAATCGAAGGGGCTTGGACAGTGCTCGGGTAGGATATCTGTCCCGTGGGCGTCCGCCGCCGCTAGAGAGAGTACGCAGCAGACAGAGAGAGAGAGAGAGAACAGCACAGCAATGCAGCAGTACGCGGAGGAGGACAGCACAGCAGTAAATGATGGAGGGGCACGCATAGAACATTCTACGTGGGAGCATTAGGTATGCAAACATCAACGTCTCATTCGTTGTGCCCCCGCTCACAGCTGCGCCGCCTGCACGTCCTGTGCAGGCAGGCTGTCCACGTCCTAGCTGGAGGGAGAGCGACAGGGAGGGAGTTTGGACGGGAGAACGCAGGGTTTGGCGTGGAGACAGCATGGCCGAGATGCAGCAAGAGGAACCGCCGATGTGCGGCGTGTGCAACCACCGCCATCACCAGGTATTGTTGTTGTTGTTGTTTCTCACATTAGCTCTATAGTCCACAAAAAATGGGGAGCCCGTGGTCTCAAAACCCGGCACATACGACGCCGCGAGAAAACAAAAAACAAAAATAGGATACAAACCACTCGGAAAAAGAAAACAAAATGATCGAAAGAAAGAAAAGAACAGGTATCGCACCTACTGTTCGTATGTAGGTATGTAACGTGCGGTGTGTGTCTGCAAAAAACAGCTCAAATAAGAGCGACACATCCAGGGGTGTCTCGTTCATCGACTGCTTTTGTTGTTCACAGGGCCCGGTGTGTGCGAGATGTAGCTACCTATTCACACACGTCAATCTGGCCGAATGTCGTCAAGTTCCATCTCGCACGCGGGCGGTGTCGCTTCTTGGTGGTTTGGTCACGGCATTTTTATGTTCTCGTCGTCGTCTCCTGTCTCCCGATCTTGATCTGTCCGCTTCGGCGACAGACAGCAGTCGGAAGCACGCTCGGCTGCCGTGCTGCTGCTGTGCTGTCATCCCAAGAGAGAAATCAGTCGCGCGGGACTTTGTGGAGAGAACGGGGTAGTATTCTGTTTTGTCTAGTCTTTATCGTCCTTTGGTGTTGAAGTTCTTAGCGGTTGGAGTCACGCCGCAGACTCCTATTGTTGTGCGCGGATGTCACAAACAGCAAGTGTTGTGCTAGTGTGTGCTGCACACTTTGCGTTTCAAATAATTTAGGTCCGCTCTCGGGTGTATGTATGCTATGTCACCACGCGAAACCACGATGGCGAGCGAGATCGTCGCGCCGCCGGCTGCTATGTCACTTTGGGCTCGTCACACACACACACAATACGTGTGTGAACACGTAATTTGATACTTCAATTGTGTGTACGTAGACTACATAACTTCTGGCTCGATTTGATGATTTGTTCGCGATGGTTGATGAAAATTACGCATTTCATTTGCAATAAAACACAAAATCCCAAGCACTTCATTGCTGCTGCTCATGAGCGTGGTTAACATCAAGTTGAAGGGGACCTGTAAGTCGTGGGCGTACATGTGCAGCTCAACTTCAATTCATTTCTTTACACCGCCGTGGCTCTCCACCTGCGCGTGCAGGCTAACGCCTACCTACGTCGGCTGTTGTTGTCCCGGCATTTTTTCGCGGAGCTGGACTGCTGTTCCCCCACACCCTCATATACATCAAGGCACTCACACACTCAGCATCAGCTGAGAACACATTTCGCAGCGAAAGTAAGAACCCAAAGCCTCCGCCAAAGCTAGAGGCTTGTTGAGTGCGGGCGATATAACTGTTGCAAAAAAAACGCAGGGGTATGTACGCGCGGAAGGACCGGTCTCACGGCAGCGGTGATATTGGGTTATGCCGCCCAACGCTAGTGCTAACGATAGAAATCCCGGGTTCGATTGTATCCCGTGGTGGGCGGCTTTGCTCAGTATGTAGCCGTCGCGAGGAGTTTACGATTGGTTGTGCTAGGGGGTATGGGGTGGGGTTGGTGGTGAGGGTTAGGGTATGGGATGCGAATTTGCGAAACCCCCCTCTCTATTTCATAAGGCAGATTTGTGAAAAGATCGTCGCGATGTCGGTCCGCTTTGTTCGGGATGTGTGTGTGCTCCTCTCTGTGCAGACGGTAGACTCGCCTTCAAGTTTCTTGACCGGGTTATCTGGTAGTCTTTGAGTATCTACATTGCAACGGATGCATGGTCCTCCATTTCCCCCCTTTTCCTTATTCGCGGAGTTTTGAGGACTTGCCTCTGTGGTCTTGTGGAGAGAGGTAAAAGCCCTCGCCCGGAGCTTGGAGTCGTTGATACATCACACTCGACGACGGCAACATAATTGACCCATTAATGGTTGAACCTGCTACCCAGAACCCAGAGAACTGGAAGTGTGTGTTTGTCCTCCTGCTTGCCACACTGTGGTGAGCGCGGCCGATCCACCGCCTGGTGCTCTTGTGGCAAAGGAAGATCCGCAATTCTGCTCTCGTCTTATTTTTGTTTGGCCGTTTGCCCTATTGAGAGCCTGACAGGCGAGAGACCAAGCATTAGGGTGCGGTTTTGCGATGGCCTACTTTCCGGAGCGCGCTTTTCGAGCGCAAAGAACCGCCGTCACAACAGAACCCGTATCTTCTGGCAGGTTTTGTCCTATTCTAGTCCTTCCTTCTCTCGCCTATGGTTACACGTGCGGCTGTTTGTTTTTTGTTGATTGTCCGCACCCCGCACACCCCTCTGGCCCTCTCCTGCGGCTCATTCGTACTCACTCATCCTGCCGTCTTCCCATGTATGTTTTCATTTGCGGCTAACTGCTGCATGGCCAGGGGGTGAAGTGCGCTATCTGCGGGCACAAGGGGAAGGGCAAGGTGTACCAGATGCTGACGGACATGCCCTGCGAGAAGGGGCTCAACTTCCGCTTCTTCGACCAGCGCACGAACAAGCAGTGGTTCAAGGGGTACTGGGCGCTCGCCCGCATAATCCGAAGGTAGGTTTGAATACTTGCACGCACGTTTGGAGGGTCGGGCGCAGGGGGCTACCCCGCCCGCCAAGGTCCTCAAATTTGAGGGTGGTGGTCACATTTGTAGGAGGTGGCATGCATGGACCGCATAACAAGTGGATTACACTCGAGATTGGCTGAAAACCGTTACGCATGTACGGGACCAACAAAGAATAGAATAAAGTGATTGCACGAGACCGAATAGCGCCACAGGGTTTGTTTGCTCTTTGAGAACCGTGTGTAGATGTGCGGATGGGTGGTTTTTGCACGGGGGACGGGGAGAAGTGGGGGGAAGTTGCACGCGACAAGCGATGTGGTAATCATTCGCTGCTGTTGGTGCTGCAGNCCGCCCGTAGCCCAGCGGTGCGTCTCCCACTGTTGAGGTACGAGTTCCGTGACGTTTTGAGCGTTGATTCGATACGGCGCTTCGCGATTGGTGATGCGAGAGCCTGGTCTGGTGAGAACCCGGCGTGCTCCGTCCCGGCTTTGTAGGGATGCGAGGTCACAGGTCTAACGACTACGGCATGCACGACTATGAGTCCCCCCCCCCCCCCCCCCCCCCCTCTCTCTCTCTCTCTCTCTTTCTCGCTGTGTATCTGTGTGTGTGTGTCTCTCTCTCTCTCTGTCTCTGTCTGTCTGTCTGTCTGTCTGTCTGTCTCTCTCTCTCTGTGTTTCTGTGCGTGTCTGTCTCTTTCTCCCCTCTGCGTTTTGTCCCTGTCCTTGTCCTTGTCCTTGTCCTTGTCCTTGTCCTTGACAACCCTCCTAACTATCTGAAGGAGAGTGTACTGCGAGGAAATGGGATTGACGTCGCAGCAGGAGTTCACAGAGATGGACCCTACCAGCCGACACGTGCTCATACAGAGTGAGTTACACCTTGCCACCTCGCGTGTTCTCTCGTTCTTCTCTCGACTCACGTGACGCGTCGAATGACGTATGCCTCTCTCCCTCGCTTACCGCAAGGAACAGTAAATCAGTAGTGAAATAAATCAGTAGTGTAATAGTCGGTAGTTGTAGCGTGCTTCGTGGGAGTCTACACTTTCGCTATCAGCTAGTGTTTTGTGTGAGTCACCGACAATGTAATGGCGGCGGAAATGTGGTGACCCGATGCGGCAGAATGAATTGGAGAGATGTGAGACTTTGGCCTAATAGTAGGATGCAGGCCGCTCGTTATCACACAAGGTCATCCTCGATATGGCGTGGCCCCCAAAAGCTGCCCAAAAACTGAATACACTAAAATTAATCAATCCATCGCGATAAAACAAAGCCAACGCACAGACTTCCTGTACAGCTTGCCCAAACGTGCAACAGGTTTTTTGCTGTTGGCATGTTTTGTTTCTCGAGGCACACCTTGCGCGCTTCGTCGTTTGCGTCATCGAACAGCTGTTATTACGAGAAAAGACCATACAGGGGGCACGCAGACCGTAACCCTAAATATGCCGATTCTGTACCTTGTCCAGATACGTTTGCTTAGTTTACTTAAGAGAAGCCTGCGTAGACTTTCTTCTATTGGCGTCGTGTCTAACGGTTCTCCCGTAGGTTGCATATGGAAGATATTACACGCCGCTTGGACCAACTTGCAACACTCGATTCTCTGCACAGCGGCAAGATCAACAGTGCCGGCCGTTCCAAACAACGGCGATAGTCTGGTTGAGAGCAAGGCGCGTCGTTTGATTTCGCGGTCCTCTTTGGGAGTGTTAGAGCTTTGAGAATCGGTCCAGGGTGTGTGTGTGTGTGTGTACTCATAGTCGTGCATGCCGTAGTCGTTAGACCATTGACCTCGCATCCCTACAAAGCCGGGACGGAGCACGCCGGGTTCTCACCAGACCAGGCTCTCGCATCACCAATCGCGAAGCGCCGTATCGAATCAACGCTCAAAACGTCACGGAACTCGTACCTCAACAGTGGGAGACGCACCGCTGGGCTACGGGCGGTGGCGCTTCGAAACCGGACCCGCGGGGCAGGGGCACGGGCAGCAGCAGCTGCAGTACGCGATGGTGGATAGATTATGCGTTCTCAAGGAGTATCGTCAGCGGGGGTTTGCCAAGTCCTGCCTGGAGAGGATCGTACACGACGTGTCTACTCAAACGGCGCAGGTACGATTGGAGGGAGGGGGGGGGGGGAGGGGAGGCAGGGGAGAGAGACAAAGACAGGGACAGATGGAGACCGAGTTAGAAACAGAGACAGACGAACCCACCCACACACAGAGCGAGAGAGATATGTTAGTTGGTCCAGCCCTTCCGCTGTCGGCGTCGGCGCCTAAGTATGAATATATGTTAGCCTTGTGGTGTGTGCCTTTTCGGCATATTTGGCGTTGAGACAGGGGTCGCGCAGAAGGATGTCCCGCCCCCCTCTTCTGCTGAAACGCTCGTGGAAGGTTCCGGTCCTTGACCGTGCAGTATTTACTATCGTTGGGGTGCGGGTTTATTGGAGCCGGGGTTGTTTAAACTTTCGTTTCTTGTCGGAACTCCTGAACCAAGTGAAATCAAGTGTGGTATAATAACCACGAGCGAGGCGTTCACGCCATCGAAGAATCAGCAGCTAGCTCTTTGTGTACGCAGAAGATTGCTTGTTTTTCTTTGGTTTGCTTTGCTTTGCCGCCTTTACACATATTTGACTTCTTGAGTGCAGGCAGGTAAGCCCGAGTGTTGCCCAGCTGTGATCCCCGAACAATGGGGAACCCATCGCCCTTGCCCTACCTCGGCCAAGTAGCTACACATGCTGCCGCCGCGATGCGATGGGGTGTGGCTGTGTAGCACCCTTTTTTTCGGCGCTGTTGTGTGGTATTGCATGTTCACGTACTTCCCCGGGTTTTATCTGAAATAGAAACCTCTTGTTGCGCGCTGGCAGGAGTGCTCCGCGGAGTTGTTGTTACCTGGCACCATGTACCAAGCATCGAAACTCTTCCCCCCGCCCGCACGCCCGCTACGCTCCCCATTTCGCCCTTTTGCTTATTCGTGCGGCTCAAAATTTCTTGCTTTTTGCGCCCGCGTCCATGGCCCCTTAACCCGGTCCAGATGAAGACTGCCGTCGCTGCGATCGTCGTTCTCGCTCCACCGAACACCTTCGCACATCAAAAGCTAGGAGAGCGAGGCTGGACGCCGCAGGTGCGAAATAGAAGAGGGGGAAGGGGAGGGGAGGGGAGGGGAGTGGATACGCACTGCTGCTTCTGCTGCTGCTAGCGGCGGTGTCGTGGAAACGGTTTATTGTATGCCGTGCGCGTGCATCCCCTCGTCGTCGGGAATAAGCGCGAACGTGGGGTTCGCGCCTCTTGGTAGACCGGTTAACCGTGCGCACCACCGGGATCCTGTGTGTGCGCGCGCGCGTGTGTTAGCATCGACGGCGCCAACCGGCTGGCCGCCGCTATGTGAACGTCTGTATGTGTTGTTTTGCGACGGCCGTCGGAGGCAGTAGAAGGCGCAGAAGTGTTTGGATGGCCTATGTGGACGCATGAGGAGAGTCGGGAAACATATTTCGCCGCACAGCGGGCGTGTTAAGCCGGGTTCCTGAGCCAACACAATGACGTTCGTTGACAACCGCCAGCTTTTTTCGGGGTGCTGGTTTGTCCCCTGTCCAAATTGAAAATGCCATGTTTTTCTTGAAATAGGAACGAGGACGTGGAACCTACAGTGCAACTTAGCGCCGAGGAGCAGGATTGAGTTGGAGTGCAGAGCACTGCGATTGGCTGTGTTGTGCAGTCAGTCGTAAATGGGGAAGACACGTACAAGATTTGTCTGTGCTTCGTTTCATGGGCGAACACCATTTCTTGCGAGCTATGCCGCGTGCCTGACCCNCTTTGTCTGTCCCTTTGTCTTCCCCCCCCCCCTGTCTCCTGTCGCGCCCCCCCCTCCCTCTACGGCGACATCGTCCCACGCTCTCCAAACCTACCGGACCACATCACACACACCTACGAACGTAATGCAGGGAGACACGGTCGACTTCCACGGCATGCCGTACGTCCGGATGTGTCTCTTTCCTTCGACCCAACCGGTCACCGCAGGCGGATGACGCACACACCCTCCTCCTGCCCCTTTTTTTGTAGCATTCGCGCTGGCTCTCCTCCACAGTGTCTTTGACTTTGCTAGTCCAGCGGGTCTGAGCTGCCCCTCCACGGAAGAGGAGGCCCCAAGAGCTGCCATATTTTTACCAACCGAAGGGGGGCCGTGCCTCCGCACCCCCTTCCCGAGGACGATGGGGTGTAGTCATGTAAACGCATGCCGAAGTCGTTGGACCATAGACCTCGCGCTCCCTCCAATGCCGAGACGGAGGAGCGAAATGCCGGGTTTTCGCCGGCCCAGGCTTCGTTTCACAAGGAAGACCCAGAAGCTCAGCATCTGCTGTTCCAAACCAGACATGCCGTGGGTTGATTGGGGGGAGCGGGGGGGTTCTCCGACTTACTGGTGGCGATGCCTCCGATTGCCCCTCCCTCCGGTTGTTTTTTTTGGGGCACAACCACCCGAGAGGTTGGAATGCCGAGTCCGACGGCGCCCTTGAGGTATCGAGCGGTAGAAGCGTCGCGCCGCAGCCGACGCGTGAGGGGGCTCGCGGGAGGAAGAGGGGGGGGGGGGATGCCGAAACAATTTGTTCTCATCGATTTGGGGGTGCGTGGTAGTGATGCCCCGACGGTGGCTGAGAGAGCGCGAGGGGAAGGCGGCGGCCGCTGCGAGGGGGGGGATGAAGAGCGACGAAAATCCGGTCCGGCGGAACCCACCCGTTTGTGATTGTTAATGTTGATGTTGTTGTTGTTGTTGTTGTTGTTGTTGTTATTGTTGCTGTTGTTTTACGCCACCGCCTGGTCACCGCGGCACCCGAGGGGACGGGGGCGGCACGCGGGGTCTCGGTTTGGAGGGGATCGGGGGGGNGGGGGGGGGGGGGGGAGGGAGGAGGGGAGGCAAGGCGGCGGCGCTGTGTGTGTGCGTGTGTGGGCGAAAGCTTGTAACTGTTAAAGGATTCGTGTGTTGTGGTGCAAGGCCGTGCCGAGCGGGGGACGACGGCGTTTTGTCGGATGGGACAGGCGGTGAGGTCTGCTAGAGGATGTCATGCATGATGTAGTGGCAATGGAAACTAATGAATGCCTCGCCTGTTGGGTGGTTGTCTGCTGTGTTAACGTGGTTTTCGAATGAATGCTGCCGCTGTTGCTGCTTCTCCGAGCTGATCTGATGGTTGTGTGGTTCCTGGTCGCGTTTTTTTTTTTTTCCCGCTCTCTGTTTTTCGGCGGTTTTACGATAGCCAATGAGCAACGTGCCCCCCCCTTCTTACCCTAGTCCGCTGCTGCTCTGTGTGAAGGCCTGTCCATTCTCTTTCTCGAGGGCGGCGAGAGACCTTGCTCTTTTTGTTGGTTCGAGGTACAGGTTGGCCGCCCGAGTTGATACCGCGGTGCCCCTGAAGGTCTCGGCCATTCTCACCCTGGAAGTATTGCATGGGTCGAGGATTTTTTTTTGAGGCTGGCAAAAGAACAGGGGGGGAAATGCGGGCCAACGGAACATAATTTTGTGTACATCGTGAGCGCAGATGGCGAGTCCAAGCATTTTTTTTTTTTTCATCGCCGGCACGGTAGTGGCTGTTCTCGCGAATTTGGAAGATGTGGATGGCCTAATATCCAAGAGTGGTGTTCCATGGTTCGCTTGCTTGTGCTTCCGGGACTTGGCAGACCCGTGTGTCATGGTGTGGTACGTGTTGCTTGGGGGAAGATGAAGAAATGGCTTCTTTATGCTGCTGCTGCTGCTGCAGTAATGGCCGCTCATGCTTTTTTTGCGGTGGTTCGAATGTTGCGCGCCCGCCGGTGCGCGTGGCTTGCTGCATTCATGAGGCACACGCCAATACTTTTGATTCCATTTCTGTGTGGGCTTGGGTCTGTCTCAAAGGTAGGTTCTACAGCAGTATCTCCACCTCGCCGGGCGGCGTATCGCGAGAGGGGAGCATTTTATTGACGTAAACTTCTAGTCTATGTAGTACGATAACACACGCATGCATGAATGTGAAGAGCGACAGAGTCAGAGACTTGCGTGAAAATACATGATGACGGTGGTGGTGCTGCTGTGGGCATGGAACGAGCTCTTCTGCTTGGTACAACTAACTGTATATGCTGGTTCTCGCCGGAGGTTATTGCAATTGTATCGTCCACTGCTGTACTACGTGTAGAGCTCCCACCCTCAGATTCGCCGCATCCCATCCCAGCCTTCGTCTGCTGCATACTGCTTATTATGACCGTGCACTTGCTCGATTGTTTTTTTTCGATCGCGTAGACTAGACTACATGTAGTGAGTATATGGGATCTCGACGGATACCATGATTGCGGCGGCGGTGCTTGTGCCCGGTGTGTGACTGCCTGCTTGTATGCGTATGACATGCATGTTCGTTGCATGTATTGATGATGTTAGTGCACCCCGCCGCGCGCCGCAGTCTTCCAATACTTTTTCGTTGTCCTTGTCTTGCTTGCGGCATCGTTAGGGCGCTGCGGCCAGTCAGTTGATGTTCGTGTCGAGCCTACTGCTCCTTTATTTATTTTGTGGTCGCCCTCCCCACCACCACCGTCTATCTTCTCGCCATGCCGCTTGGAACTTGTTCGCGGGGGATGCCGTGTACTTCAGGGATGTATACAGTTAGTTGTATCCGTTGTCGGAAGTTTACCGAACTTTCTGCATGAGGATCGAATCACGCGACGATGATTGCTGTGGCTGGTCGCACTGACGGGTGGAAGCGGGGGGAAGAATCACCACGTGCGTGCTACTCATCGTAGGCTGTGTTATGCGTCTTCGCAACGACTCATCATCACCAAGCTCACTCACGTCGTCGCGTGCGAAACGAATGACTGTAGAAATGAGCCCTGCATATAAAGCATTATTTTCAGTTTTTCATTTCACTGCCTCCGCTCAGGTTAGCTTTATTTAGGCGGCTCACATGTAGCGAACCCTCTCCACTTGCGTTTTTTTCATTCCTCTCTTGCCTGCGTTCGGAATGAAATTATCCCAGCAAGCTGCCGCACATCGAATCGAGCGCTTCATTTATTTACTCTGGAACGACACCGCTCACACATCGTACGTACCCTGCTGAAACACATTCTACCAATATCTCACATCGAACTTCATGTACACGGCTCATGCAAGGAACTCAGGGATCGGGGGGAAAAACGACTTACTTCACGAGTCTTACAAGTAGCTGTATTCGAAAGGGCGGCCGTCCACATTCGATGAACACCGGTATACTGTACTCGGAGTCTACAATTGTAATTACTTTTGGAGAAAGAAGGAACTAACTGTATTTTCTTGCTGCGTGCTATCGATCCGGATGAACGTGTTTCCATATTTACAATCAAGGCGCGATGCATCGATCCAGATATCTTGGCGTGATGCATAGTCGATGGAAACATTGATGTGATAGTGTTCGTAACAGGTACACACCACCCAAAAGGGAGAGGGCAGTTCAATTCGTTGAAGTCGTCAAGAGAGCCCGTGCAGGTCAGAAGGTTACGGAAAAAATCAGTGTAATCGAAAAAGTTTCGTACTCCCACCGGGGTTCGAACCCGGGACCTCGGCTTTATCAGAGCCGCGCTCTACCAACGGAGCTCTGGGAGCTAGATACTCCCTCTAGCAAATGTTAAACATTTAAATAACTTATTTCTTCGAAGTTTACAATTTCATGACGAGGTCGGAAAGAAGTCAAACGTTTTGGCGTGATGATGCCGGTGCTCAGAGCGCGGTAACTGGGGAGATGTCCGGGGATCTGGGCCAAAATTCGATTGGTTTTATGCCATGTGCGTTCATGATACTTCTGGGAATACAACGGCCAGGCGTGCACAATAGCTCTATCTTACAGGTGCAGTAAACGGATCCTGCTCTCATGCACAGCAGTAGTAGGTGACACATGACGTCATGACATAAATATCAAATCCCCTTGGACCGATCTTCAAAGCTCGTTTCTCCACACAGTATGAATGACGCGGCCGAAAACGGCGGCGCTGGAACCACCTTGTCGAAAGCTTGCCGAATAGAGTGGTATATCAATTCTCATCGTGGGGAGTAATCGAGATGGCTGCGAATATCGGTCCGGGGGGTGTGGTATCTTGTGTCACCTTGGGGGTAGATGATGCGTCCTTTGTCCCTCGTACGAACACGACCCAGGCGCTAAAGTCAACATACTGCTGTACAGTATTGTAAAGGGGATAAGAGGTTAGTCGCAGGCACGGTATAAGTAGTTGCATGTCTGTGTTCGCCCCTTCTTCCGTTGCATCGGGCTCAATTACATGACGCACGTTGTCAGCGAAATACTGCTGTTGCTGTGCCGGTCCACCTTAACCCTTTCGTGACTACACCCCCCAATCGTGCATGTTAGCATGCACGATAACTCTTATGTGCGACAGTTTTCGAACCGAATTGAGCTGTGGATACCTGCATCGACGACCGCTCGACGGTACGACTAGACCGCTCGAAAAGAAACAAAGTAACGACCGGGGACAGCAAAAGCACGTCCCCTATACAGAAAATTGAAAGCCTGGGAGTTGCAATGCTCCGCAGCACCCTGCATCCCGCGCTGCTGCTGTGCTGCTGTGGACCTCAGTCCAGCACGCAGAAACGCGATCATGAGGCCGTTTTGACCTCCCAGAACTGAGCAATTTCCTCTGGGTCCATGGTGGTGATGTTGGTACTGTACTGCTGTGGTGCTGGCAGGCTGTGGCAGGAGTGACAAAGTGTCAAACAGAGACACCCGCCCCCGTGCCTTCGCGTTTTTGAGAGGGTTTTCGTGACTTCAGGGACGATAGCATGCATGATAAAACCTGTCTTTATCTGGTACGAAAAATCATGCTCTCGCTGTTGAGTTGTGTGCCCTCTTCCTTGCCTTCGGAATGTGGTTGCAGAACTGAAGGCCAAGCTTACGAGGCCTCTCCCCGAGTTCTCCTGCGCGAGTGTGCGTTCGAGTGTTTTCCTTGTCCGTCTTCAACCAACTGCCACCACAAGGCATAGTCTATCTCTCGCGCGGCTCGTGCTTGCTGCTGCTGCTGCTGCCGCGGGCTGCTGCTGCTGCTGCTGCCGCTTTTTCATTTCGTTTCGCATGCATGCATCCCAACAAACCGTACGTGCGTGTGTGCTTCTTGTCTCCAAAGGATTTCCCACCCAACCAAGTGGCATTGGAGGCGGTGCCACATGCCTTGCGCCAGTGTGCTGCATCGGCGGCGGGGTAGCGTGACATGTAGAACTGCTGTGCATGCGATGTATGTCTACTGCTGCTGCTGTATCCATGTATGCCATCATCATGTGATAATCGTGTTTGGGGTAAAGAAATACGGCGCCCTCTCCTCTCTCTCCTCCGGTTTCCAACAGCACCTACAACAGCAGTACAGCAGTGTAGTTATCGGTCACCCATCACAGTCTTCACGTGAGGGTTACGCTGCTGTTGGGCACTAAACCTTTGTGGCACCACGGGGTGCGTGCGGTTGACCTGTGTGGGAACCTGTTGGTGCGCAAACGTGCAAACGTTCAAGTGTGTGTGTCGTGTGTGTCTCATGACTCATCGGTCTATTCGATCCCGGCAGAACAAAAAAAACCGCGGAAGATCCAGAAAGAACCCAGTCACGAAAGGGTTAAAGTCTGTCTACTTTTCACGCAGAATAGATTCGTGTCCGGAGCGTTTGGGATGTCCGTACGTCTCCCTCGCTCTCCATCGAGCATGACGACTCGTCTCGACGACGACATTGTAGATTCACACTCTTGTCAGTAAGTACCAAATATCTTACGAGTGTGTTAGACTATGCTTTTTTTCTTCCAAAGTCAGTGCGGGGCCTTCTTCGTTTTATCGCTTCAGCATCGATGTGTACACGCATGACTTGGTATGGGGCACCAAATTGTCGGGGTTTGCGACAAGGATTCTCTCATTCAACACGTTACGCAAATAGATCGCATGCTTTCTCTCGAGGAAAGGGCACACACACGCTCCCACTTCCAATACCTAGTGCTCATTCATCACGTAGGGTGGGCACACCGCGAGCTACGACAGTCCCACTCTAACGTTGTCTCTCACCCGTGATTGATTTCCGAGGCGCGTCACATGTAGAGACCGTTTCCGAAACAAAACCTGGGGCCCTTCTTGCCGCCGTTTGTTGCATACATGTATGAAAATTGCAGCGTTTTTTTTCCACTTTCCGGGAAGGGAACAGGCCCAGCCTTTCCAATCTTCGATCTTCCCAGGGCTCGTCGCGGGATATTTTGCTCTGTATTTGATGGTTCGAACCGTTCACGTATCGCCTTCCCGTACGGATGGATGTGCGTCGGACGTTGCGTTGGAGGTGCTCAAGACCTACGAGCCAGACAACTTGCCAGTCGCCCCCCCGCCGGTGATCGCACCAAGGGAATACTGATACCTCCCAAAATCTGAACGCGGGCGGCTGTGACGTCATACAGTAGTAATGTAAACTGCTTGTAGCTTTCCTTGAGCGCCCGTCTCAAAACAACCAACTCTCGCCTCGATCATCCGAAGAGAAACATTTACCACGTAGTCTAGACAACACCCTCAGGAAAACAGAAATAAATCCCCATACAAAAACGCAAACCGCAACAACCACCGCTCCTTTCAGGACGCAGCAGCAGCAGCAGCAGCAACAGCAGTGTTGCATCGTGCGGATGACAACTAACCCCGCGCCGATAGACATGCATACCTCGTGAAGGCCATGACCCCGGAAACAAACAGCAGAAAAACAACGTACCATAGTACCTGTCTCCCCACCGTGTCTATCACCCAACATTCTTCTCTATGTGCGTATAAATTCATACACGGCGTTTTTTTTTTCTTTGGGATTTCTTTACTCTTGGGAGGGTGCAGCGGCTTCGGTGGATGGGGCGGCTTGGGGGGTGGGGGCTCCGCCTTCGATCTCCAGCAGCTCCACTGCAACAGGGGGGGGATACACAGAACGCAGAAACGAACATACCGGGGTCAGTCACGGGAATACTATGTTCCTTGGGAGGAAGATTCGCCCATGTGTCGGTGTTTTTTCGTTTGGGGGGGTAATGTTATTTTCGGTTTTGGGGATGCAACATTCATTTTATTTTCGGTTTTGAGAATGCAACATGCTATATAATATATATTGATCATCAATGCGCGTTTTTATGGTTTCGGGGAAGCAATAAGGGAAGGTGGTGATAGCGAAATCGAACAGAAACACATACGTAAGAGCATGGAAAATACCTTGGTTGGGGGGAGGACTGCTGTATGAGAATGTGGTGCGAGCTCGACGGAACGTCTACTTTATGGATGGGGAACTACTGGCCCAAAACGAAAACCATTAGTATCTCTTGGCTGTCAATGAGCAGCAGGGATTTCAGCTGCAATGCGGAATCACACTGTCGCGCAATCATTTCAGCAATTTTACTGCTTGTTTGCCCCTGACTACACAATTGGAAAAGGGAGCCTTCTTCAAGACCGGTACAAAGGAAGCAAAGACTGCTCCATACTCGCGCACATACGACATTCGTAGACCTCGCCTGAACAGTACTCCGGTTTACATGTACATCATCGGCGATGCGTGCCAAAAGCGCCAACCAGCACGTGCGTCAGCCATTTTTCATCCAACTGGTACCGACAACAGAGGTACTGGTACCCGCGTAAAAGGACAAGACAAGGAACGAACGGCCTTCAAAAGGTCAAGCATACAACAAAAATCA